AGGGAAAGGGTCCATTTTCACTTATATCCCCAATTGCCTACAAAGTAACCCGTTGCTTAAAATAGACCCTAAAAATCTTACCAAAGTCAAGACGAATAAACCAAGTTCAAGAGTGTGGAGAGCAACCATTCATGATCCAGATTATAAATCCATCTTGATTCAAATTATAAACCCATTGTGGTTCAGATAAAGATAGCCATCGTTCAACTGCAGTGGTACAACACTAATGTAAGCCTCCACAAAGCTGAAGCCACATGGAAAGGTCTGAGGTTCAGATCCGGAGGTCTCCCTGTATACTCCCTGTATACATACTGGGTGTATGCCTGGGTGTCCATGATCCCAGCTGGCCGAGGCTGGATCACAAAATGAAGACCCTGCTAGAGGGATCCGTGTCCCTCTCTCACTTTTAAATGGAATAAATCTAAATATGCACACATGCACACATACACACACACACACACACACACACCCCTACAGAGGTTGGCAGGTGGCATGATGATTAGGGCACTAGACTCCCGCATGGCCAACCACAGTTTGAGTCCTGGACTTGGAGGCTTTCTTTCTCATTTTCCCTCTCTCTCTCTCCCCCTCCTCCTTTTTTTCTTTGGCCAAATTAAAAAATAATAAGTAAAATTGCATAATTTAAAAAAAAACTACCAAGTAAATGTATCTTAATAACTAGTACAATGGGCTGACACTCAGATATGCATAGCCTACTCTGTGACTTAAGAATTACAATTTAATCTTTACATATGATTAGATATTCTTTAAGAATTATTTAATTTTATTTATCATTAATATCATTTTTTCAATTTGACCAGAGAGAAAGTGAAAAAGCAAGTCCATCTCCAGCACCAAATCACAATTGGCCATGTGGGAATCCAGAGCCTCAACCACCATGCCACCTGCAGGCCCCTATGATGATTACACATTCTCAATCTAAGACGAAATATCCACCAAAAAAATCTTAATTAACTGCCAAAACTCAAAATTGCTTAATATTTGACATATATTTCAGATAAGCTTTCTACTAGGTTGTCAGAAAAGTCATGATGTATTTTTTTCTTTTTTTGGGGGAGAGGTTTTTGCTATAGGGCGCATGCGTTCATCAGAAAGACAGAGACAAAGAGACAGAAAGCGAGAAATCATCCCCCCAGGGGGGATGGCCACACCACAATCCCTTCTCTCTGGATCTCGGACATGCATGCACATGTGCCCAGCGTGAATTTAAGCCGCTGGGTCTGGGACTTGAACCATGGTTGACTACATAGGAATCCAGTGACGTAGCCATTATGCCATCTGCTGGTCCTAATGGTTCATCTGAGTTACCGTAAACTGCTGGTCCTCATGATGTATTTTTCTAAGCAAAAATGCGTCATGATTTTTCCAATGACCCAATAGTATCAGTTTTATAAATATATAACTTATCTTTCAAAGGAATAGTACTAAAAAAGGAAAGACACATAAGAAAATATAGTACTACAGATTTCTTGTATCTTCATATGCAAATTTGATAAAAGAAGAAAAGGAGACTTTTTTATTTATTTATTTATTTTTGGGAGAGGTTTTTGCTATAGGGCATGTGCGCTCAAGACAAAAAGAGATAGAGACAAAAAGCGAGAAATCACCCCCCAGGGGGATGGCCACGCCGCAATCTCTTCTCCATTCTCCTCTTGGGATCTTGGGCACACACATACACACGCCAAGCCTGAATTTAAGCCCCCAGATCCGAGACTCAAACCGCGGTCGACTACATGGGAGTTCAGCGAAATAGCCATTACGCTAACTGCTGGTCCCAGGAG